GTGTCATCGTATTTTCGTATCTCGCTGCAGCGTTTACGGATAAGCAAGGTGCGCAACGATTTTATTTTGCAACATATATATCTGTTCCGAACACAACCAGGAAAATCTGTGCGAATCAAGATCACTGACCGTTAAAACCTCGAAAATATTTTTTATCGCGATAAATAATCAGCACCGGAAGAATGATTACTCGAGTAGTTATCCGAAAAATCTTTGTGGTCTCTGACTTTGACCTTGCGGGAGATATAAATACATCAAGTGTATAAGATTACGAGGAAAAATTGATACACTTGAGATTTTAACATTGTTCCGGCTGACGAAATTTTGATATACTAAATATTCAAATATATAATCATTGTCGATTCAATATTGTCTTTTCAATTTTTTTATAATTAATATAACGATACATGAAACTTGATTTAACGCATTATTTGTAACGTTTCTATAGTACCGAACTATAGTACCGAATTTTTGAAGCTTTAGAAACGTTTTACGATAGAATCGCAAAACGCATTGCGACGCTCTGTATCAAAAATACAATACCCGATGGAAGATTAACTGCCGCCGATTCGAATCCTGATTCGCCTGTAGAGTACGCGCGCTCTTTGCCATTTTTCATCTCGTTCAACGTGATATTAACTTGAAAACGGCCACTCTCGGACATTACCGTAAAGCCGATCGTATCTCCGCTTCGACCCGCTCTAAAGCCGAAGTTGGAGTAAAAGAGACTCTTTTGCGGAATAAAAACTTACGATGCCTAACGTTAAATTGAATTTCGCTCTATTTATTGTATGTTGTATCAAACATATAAACATATTTTTACGAATCACGTTTACTAAAATCGCGTCTTAGAATAAACATTTAGATGTTTAACTATCATCTTTGGAGTGTACTTTTACCAATGCATTTGACATTGCACTTACAATTAGCTGAATTCTATAATCTCAATATTGTTTATCCAATATGAAGACTTTAAAGCAAAATCGCATTAAATCCATAAATTATAAAATCTTTCTTAAATATGAAGCCGTATTTAAATGTATTTTATCGAATCTTATAAATTTATTTTACATTATTCTAAACGATATTATTCTATACAAAAAATTTAGAAAAGAAACATTTTATTAGATTTTTTAAAGCATTTATTACCGATTAGCCTGCACATTAAGTCAATCGATTAGTTATGACGCGAGATATAAAATCGTCCGCCATGCGGTATTGCTTGTTATATGCAAACTATTATAAGATCATTATTATATGAGCATTACTACTATTATCCACTCGTTATATGAACAGTACAATTACTATACACTAATTATATAAGCGCCTTCATTAGAATACATTTACTTTACAAATATTACTGTGATATGCTCGCTGCACGTGAGCGCTACCATTTTTCTCCGCTGGTCGTTGCTTTGTTCCGAAAATCCAAGAGAGTCACCGCGTCGGACTTTTCGCGTTCACCAGAACTTACGAGCTAGCGAATACGGACCAAAACGGTCAACCAACCAGCGAGGCAGCCAACAGCTGCCACGAATTCGACGTTAAACCCGCGTAACCGTGGAAGTGCGCGGAGACGCGCGGGAGGCGCGGTCGCGGGCCCGTTTGCATACGATGCGTCGCCGATGCAAATCGGCCCGCGCGATGTGGACGAGATACGCGGTGGGCGAGCGGGCGGACGATGCATCGCGGTGCAGCAGAGTGTGTGCAACCGGAATGCAGTCGAGCGTTGCGCAGCGCGGCCAAAGGTAATAATTGATATATAGCGATAGCATTGGCCGCTGACAGCCGCTAACCCGGCCGAATACGGATGACACCCAGTAATCCTCACTCTCATACCGGTTAGTGTCCACCTATATTCCGCGGCGTCCCATTTCCCATTCCCATAGCCTGTAAGCTCGGTTCCTCTCTCTGTTTCTCTCTCTGTTTCTCTCGGTTCTTCTCGTTCGCGCAACCCCTTCGCCCTCCGCCGAACTGAGGTATACGTATTTTGGATGTGTGTCGGTCGCGCCGCAATCAGGGGTTCAGGGGGGGTGGATGATTGCGCGGGAGAGGAAAAGAGAGACAGTGTGGGGCGCGGGTAGAGAACGAGGAGAGAGCGAGAGAGAACGAGAGAGAGAGACCTAGAGAGAAGAGAGAGAGAGAGAGAGAGAGAGAAAGAGAGAGAACAGCATTGCAACTGGAGGCTGGAGCGCAGAGCGACTCTCGTGCACCAGGCGCCGCCAGGAGGTGTGCGGTGCAACCATACTAATCCGCCGATGGATTTATGGTCTTAATCACCGGCGGATTATCTCGGACAGCCGCGCTCTGCTGCCACCGACCGAAACATACGCCTGCCTCTTTGCAGATAAC